GTTCAGTCAACCTGGTCTGTATATTATTCACTTCACATGAAATGGCACTGTGTGTGTTGGCTATGTCCGTACATTTGATTTTTAAACAATCTGAAGTTCCTCTGACCCTGTTAATAATAGCTCTGTTGATGAGGAGGGGGTTGTCTTCCAAGTATATTATAGGGAAGCATTGTTGGGAATGTTTTATTTTCAGAACTGATGCCCTTTCTTGCACTGATGCCCATTTGCTCTAACAATGCTGTTAGGATCTGGAGCCACTTACAGTTTTATTTATGGCCTTGGTTTTGAATCACAGTTAAAGTAACTTTTCCAAATGTTTGGGTTTTGTAGGCGCCATCCAAATGTGTCCCTAATGTGGAAAGCTTTGATTGTATTTAGCTTCTCCCTACGCTACTACCTTAGTGGTCCATCTTATACTAGTGAGTGTTGTGGAACCTATCCAGGGCATTAAATGCTATTGAATACTCATGAAGCATGTGCCCAGGGAGAGAAAGAAGACAATTGTTCCTTGAAATATTTAGCATCTGATGAAAGAAACTTTTAACAGGCTAAGGTGTACATTTCCGTAAGATATTTCTCCAGGTGCAAAAAAGAATTTTCTTTTCTGTTTGGATCTCAGAATAATATTTAACTGAAAGACAAGCCTGATTCTGCATGTCTTTTAGGCATAAAATCAAATATTTGTGGTGCATTAGGAGTAACGCAAATGTTTTAATACAAGGAACACAGACACACACCCTCTCCAGCTGACATAGAAGATAGAAAGATGGAGTATACTTTAAGCTTTGTATTTCAGTGGAAATCCAAAATATGTGAGTGCCCTTAATGGAAACAAGCCAATCTAGTTCTGTTCTCTCATCTACCAACATCTTTCAGTAAAAAGACATCTATGAGACTTGTGATGCTAAATAAATATCATATGCCATAGCAAAAATAATAGTCTAGTGACGTACTCCCAGAGTTGCAGAATCCTATCTGTCATTCCACAGAAGTGTTTCCAGAAAAAAAGTTAGTTCTTTCTGGAAGGTAAGGACTTTGTGTAGTGGTGTTTGACAGAGGGATAGGAAAAGCCATGCAAGAGCTAAATTGGCTACCGCCCCTCTAAATCAGTTTCTTATATAGATACCCCCTAAAATTGTGTACTTACAAAATAGCCCCCACTCCAGCTTTCCAAAATAAAAAGTTTTCTTGCTGCTGTTCATAAAAAAAATCTCCCCCGCTTCCCGCACCCCTCCACTCTCAGTAACTCAGCTAGTATGTGACAGTGTTTTAATATAATAGATATTTCCACCCCCCTTTATTCATACTTGTCTGGCATCGCAACACGATGCTTCATAGGAGACAAGAATTCAGGAGCAACCTTGGCAAAGGCAGTCTTAGAACTAGACCCAGCCAAGAGCTCTAAAAGACTGAAATAACTTTTAAGGACCAGATTATAATTTTGGATGCAGTGGTAGTCTTTGAGTCCTGTGCACATCAGAAATCAGTTTGGCTGGTAATGTCAAGGCAGTAGGAAGCCACATAGTTACACAATGACTAGAGGCTAGTTGTGGCTCAGCACAGGAGCCACAAATGAGATTGGTTACTAGGAACTGGAGAAGCCACTGGAGTTATGAGTTGTGTGAAACCTTTAGAACTTTTTCCTTTGGTTTTGTGAAACTTTGAGTTTTGCAAAAATAATTTTCCCCTTTAATTTAAGCCCTGGGGTTTTTTATTTCCCCCAAGGGAATTTTAATTGAAGAATGTATTCCTAATTAAATGGAAGCAGACAATAGACTCTTGTTTAAAAGCAAGTTTTGCTCTGCTTCTAGAGCTACCAGGGAAATCAGTTTAAAACAAAAGACAGCAGCACAAAACTCCTATTTTGCCAGATCCAAACATAAAAATTGATCCTCAATATTGTCAATTTCTCTTCTAAATCTAGAGTGTTAGATGCTCATAAACTGAATGAGGGAAAGTGAGTTTTACTATCCATGTAATCACATTTTTAAACTGTGGCCACTGGCTATTGATTCTACATGGCCCAACTTTTATCTACAACACCTGAGCTTTGATTGTCAGAAGTGGTGAGTGCATTCAATTCCTACTGAGTTCAACTGAAATTTTTGGTGCCCAGTTCTTGTGAAACTCAGGGCTATTTTGTGTCAAGTTATATACCTACAATCTATGGTCACTTTTTTAAATGATGGCCTCTGTCAGCTATTCTCCAAGCCATGATGTTGGTGGGCTGCTTTTGTTTGCCACATAAAAAAGAAATAGGTGATGTGTTGCAGTAGGTTTAAAAAAAAAGCACTTCCCTTCAGTGCCCATATACACATACTGGCCCAAACACCATACATCCAGTTCACACACTGCAACAACTATTAACATTTCTGAGATGTATTAGAAGTGAAAATGACTCCCTTTGTGTCAGTTTCTCAGAGAAGGGTCCCTGATGTATTATGACAAAGTATAAAGAACACATAACTAAAGAAAAATAACTATCATATTGATACTCTGTGAACAACAAGCCAAATGGCTGTAAGGAAGAATACAGAATGATTTACTACTGAGCTATCTGTTGCTGTCATACTTTCCATTTTAATAAGAAATATCTCCAAATATTTTGTAGGAATAACAACCTCCTCACTTCACACCATCACCCCTACCAAAACTTAAGAGCCAATGTTTATTTTTATGGGAAATTTTTCAAGATTAACATTTTCTGTTTCCAGACTATGTGCATCTAGGTGTGTGTTACCTATTTTATGGAATAAATGGTTCTAATGTGAACAATTCCATGTTTGCTGGCCATTTCTGTAAGAGCACATCCACAGAGTGCTATGCAGAACTGGCTTAGGTTCCCTGCCTACAGGAGTTTGCACCGTTGTAACTATACCCAGAGCTCGTTGTCACCATTGAAAAGCCCCAGTGTAGATCAAACCAAAGCATCAAGTTTCAAACTTCAATATTCCTCTGGAAGCATAGGTTCAAATTTCATCAGGATTGACTCTGCTCTTCATCCTTCCAAGGTATAGTTTATTTGGGGGAGGGACATCTTTCAGGTGAAACCAAAGTCATATTTACCTTACATGGAGACATTACATTTTCGTAACACAGAGGTTTGCCCCAGTCTCCTTGGCCAAGTTGTCACTTCCTTCACTTCAAGAGAACTGCTATCCATCACTCCAAAGATGGCTGCATTTCAGTGACAGTGTATATATCTCGTGGTAAAATCTTTTAGGGTTCTTTGGGCTGAAAGCTATTGTTTAATAGACGTTGTTTTGTGGAACTAAGACAGGTAGCCTTTCTAATTCATAATCATTTAAAATGTTTATAATAGGCCAAAGAAAGAAAACAAAGTATTGGTTTCTGCAAACATTGTTCCTGTGATCAACTAATTCAAATTCTAATGTGCTTTTGAAAGCAAACTGGGAATTCAGTTCCAATAATCATCTTGTGCTGTTTTGTTTTCCAAAAAACCAATTGCTATGAGAGGACAAGTTTAAAAATCTCTTTCCAAGTGGTGTGTTAGTACTCCATGAGTAAAAAGGATAAAGTCCACTTGATTTCATCTGTTCTGTGCTTGCAAAGAATGTCACACTATAAAATTCCTGGAGTGAATTTTTGTTTATAATATACAAATAATTTTCAAAAAATTGGACACGGTGGCAAGATCCCTTCTGAAGAATTTCAGGTATGAGCAATATCCCCCAAATTCATGAAAATATCACTGTAATATTTACTATCTTGTAGAAACACTCCTTGTCTGAAAGGCTAAGATAAAAACAAAATATATCTCACTTTGCAAACCTCCAAATGGAGTATCTCTTCACCAAAACACTTAACAGCCTGCAAATGGGTACTCTGCCCTTCATGTTTATTCAAGCACTCATTTAAAAATGGTTAATGAATATGTATTTATTTTACAGAGTGCATTACTTATAGTTTTACAGACACTGCAATCTCTACAAGAAGATTGAACTCGGCTATTAGCTGCAAACCTCAAGTCCTGGCTACAGAGGTGATCCTGGCTTATTTAGCAATCCTAATAAATTAGCTCACCCATCCTTATACATAGTCCTATATTTAGCATCTCAGGCCCCAGAATAGCCAAGGAGGGCCAATTCACATAGCTTTATAATTAAAAAATGGTCAACCAGAGATGATCCACGCATTTGGAAATGCAGTCTGCAGTGCAATGTTATTCCACTGCAGCATAATGAAGGCAGTAATATTAGACTAAAGTTTTGTGGAGACCCACAGGGAACTGCCCTGGAGCTAATCTGTTTCCTCGGGAAATGCGAAGGGTATAACTTTATGCAGCATTATCAATGTGTTGGGGGGTTGTGCAGTGTACACAAATGAAGGCAACCCTGGAAGACTTTTCACTCGACAGTAGAGCCAGGGAGGGGTTTTTGTTTCCCTTCCATCACTCCAGGATGGTCTCTGAAAGGCTCGGAAAAGCGCGCCGGGAGCAGCGCTTTGCCCGCAGAGAGGAAAGCGTTGGCCTTGCCACTCTTCAACCTGTCTGCCTACCTGCGCTCGGGCTCGACTCGAGCGCTGAGTTCGCTACCGAGTCGTTTTCACTCGCACGCTTTGCCCTTCGCCAGCCGGCTTCTTGCGGAGTGGCTCCAGCGGGGGTCTCCCGCCCCAGCCCCGGGTTACAAGCGAGGGGGGCGCAGACGCAGGACTGTCTACAGGCAGCGCCCCCGATCTCTGGCAGCTGGAAAGGAAGGGGCTGTGTATGTTGGGGGGGGGGTCTCCTTTTCCCTCCCCGCCGCGCTCGGCACACGCAGCGATGCCTCAGGCCGGGTCCGCACGGAACCGGCTGGGCAGGAGGCAGCTCCGGTGCTCGCCCAGGTGCAGCCACCTGGAGCCGCCCAGCATCCCTAGGAGCCGGGCGGTTGGTGCAGCCTGCCCTGGGAGGGGACAGGCGTCGTTGTGTTCTGGGGGGAGCCCCGGGCGGCCCCGCACCCGCTCCCAGGGGGGCCCGTGGCTGGGCGCCGCGCCTGCCTTACCGTGAGCGCGGAGAACTTCTGAGCCGGCACCAGGAGGAGCAGCTCCGGGAGCAGCAGCAGCAGCGGGAGCCGCATCCTGCTCCGGAGCCGGGACAGGCGCAGAGTCGCTGCTGGCGGGGGAATTTCTTTGGGCTCTCGCTCCCCCCCGCCCCCGTCTCTGGCTCCTTTTCAGTCTCTCCTGCGGGGAGGTCCCTTAGCCTCGGGCTGCTTTCCCCACCCCCTGCAGCGCGGGGCTGGAGAGCAGCGCGCTCCCTCCCCTCGCCTGCTGCTCCAGCGCTTCCCACCCCTGGCCGGAGAGCTGCCTCCCCCGGCTCGGGGCGGGCTCTCCCGGGATCCCTGGAGCGGAGGAGCGGCCCTCTGCTGCGCTCGCCACCGGAGGGGTGGCGGCAGCCCCGGAGCGACCAGAAGACCACGGGAGCCCAGCTGCCCCGTCCCCCTAGGGCATCCCCGCGGCTCTGCGTGGGAATGCTGCCTTGCCCTGCTCCCTGGCCCCAGCCCGGCCGCCCGCTTCCCCTCGCAGGCTCCCGGCTCCTCCGCTGATTGATGAGCCTGGCCAGCGCAGCTCCAGGCGACCCACACACCGGCCCCACAGCGCCGAAGGGGGAAATGGGAGGGAGCGCGGAGCTGGTGGTGTCGCTGGGCAGCGTTCCGCGCTGAGGTTTGCAGGCGTTGCTCGGAGCCTGACCTGTGAGCTGCGGTGGGGTCACACCCCCGGCTTGCTCCAGGGAGCGCTGCCCCCCGGGCTGGGGAGCATGGAGCAGCTCCCTGGGTCAGGCTGGCTGCCCCCTTCCCAGCCGCTGCCGCTGGCCTCAGAGGACCGGCCCCTGAGCTCCCTGCCGCTGGGAACATCGTTCTGTGGACCACGCCGCTGATCTCTTCCAGCCTTGGCTTCTCTTACACGGCTGGGAGGGGGCGCGTACCTGGCTGCTCCCCACCCACCGCTTTGCTGGTTTCGAGCCCAGCGAGGTACCTGGCGCTCATTGTAGTGCAAGGCCTTGGACCACAGCGGGGAAGCGAGCAGTTGGCCAAAGCGTTTCTTGCACTGATGTTGGTACGTGCTTCTGGGGGGAAAGCCAGCGTAAGGGCTTGGTTCGCCTACCCGCCTGTACTCGAGGAACGCCTGATGATTCAACTAAAATAACAGAGCGGGAGCTTTGCATTCTCGGGGGTTATCTTTTGGGAACCGCATAAAGGAATGTTGTTTATTATCTCCCAATAAAAACCAGCAGAGGATTCCTTACTGAGGCTTGGGGACAAGAATCTCTTCCCCACCATCTTTTCCCCCATGCAAGCAGCGGTTCTCAGAGCGCAGATATCTCCTTGCGCTGGACCAGAGAGACAATAAGCCGTTTACAATGACAACTGACTGCTAGCATCCGCAGTCTCAATATTTTAGGTATTGAAACACATATATGATAAACAAAAGAACTACCTTAACCTAACACTAGTAAGATTGCAAAATCAGGTACTCAAAAGTGATGAATAGCCACAATTAAGATTGCCTGTGCAGATTGAATTCAGTCCCCTTTTGCACAGAATTATGATCTTTAGCTGTATTTTCACATAGTATTTTTTCCCTCAGAACACTGCCTCACTGAGTGCACAGGATAGGTGGTACTTAATTAATGAGCAGCCATTCAATGTTTTATTTTCTTCCCATTGTTCCAGGTGTGGCCCAGAGACTTATTGTACAGTACTGCAAGTTATTCAAACCTTGCTGTGCAGACAAATTTACTAATATTCTCACGGACTTTTCTATGGTGGTCATCACTCTAGTATCTAAGGGCTTGTCCATACTTACCTAGAGATTGATCTTCCAGAGTTCCATTTAGCGGGTCTAGTAAAGACCAGCTAAATCATACTCAGAGGATGTCCCAGTCTACACCAGTGCTCCCACTTCTGTGAGGAGTAAGGGAAGCCCTCGGTCCCCTTGGCCTACCACTGTGGGGATGTCAGGGAAACTCGAATGAAGGTATCTTGACTCCAGCTAGCTAATTAATGTAACTGGAGTTGCCTATCTTAATTCAACCTTCCCCTTTAATGTAGCGATTCCACAGGCAAGAGCCTTTTTTACCACACAGCTCTTATTTGTCCTCAGAGCAGGTTCATCCCGTGAACTAAATGAAGCAGGGCTGTGGGGAAAACAGCTTGTAATAATATAATTAAATAATGTATGATGATCCACATGGAATCCAAATTAAAGTTGCACAGACAACCTTAATTCTGATATGTCCTAATTTGTGAGTGCTTGCTTTTTGCAATCTCAGTAGTGTTCTTTTAATCAGGATTTTGTGTATGTGAGTTCCAAGGTTTTTGAAAAAGCAAACTGAAAAAACAGAAATTTCATCATGTGTCATCTTCCCAGGGCCACATAAAGGCATGGGTTAGCCGGGCAGCTGCCCGGGGCACCAACCTATGGGGGGGGGTGCCTGATGTCAGCTGTGAGGGGAGCACAGAGCCCCTTATAGCTGCCATCAGGCACCACGCGCCCGGATCACGGGCTGCAGCAGCTCCCAGCAGCCACCCTGCAGAGGCCGCCCAAGGTGGGGGCCGCATTATCCCCCCCAGCCCTGGCCAACAGCACCCTTCCCCTAGCGGCTGCGGGGCCCTTCTCAGCCCGCCCCCAGCGGTCCCAGGCTGAGAGCCAGCAGCGGTGGCCGGGCAAGGCATATGCGTCCTGCCGCCATCAGCTCTGTGCACCCTCCCCCACGCGCTGGGCAGGGGCTGGGCCGCGCATGGACCCTCCCCCAATCCGGGGTGCAATTAACCTGTCTGCCCAGGGCACTGGAATGGCCTCAGTCCGGCCCTGCATTTTCCATTTGGGTCATCACCAGCGCTAGAACCTTTAGAGGGACCAAAGGCTATGTCTGCACTACCAGGTTATTTTGAAATAAGTTATTTTGAAATAACTCACAAAATAACTTTCAAAATAAGCTTATTCCTTTTAAAAGCAAGACTTGTTATTTCGAAATAGCAGGCTTACTAGTGTGGATGCTCGCCTTTTTACTTCAAAATAAGGGGAGTTATTTTGAAATAACTCCGTGGTGTAGACGTGCCAAAGATTGGATGCTCGCCTTTTTACTTCAAAATAAGGGGAGTTATTTTGAAGTAACTCTGCGGTGTAGACGTGCCAAAGACCTCTGCCACTTAAGCTAAGGGAGTAATTGATAGCAGTAATTGGTCATCATCCTCCGGGTGAACCAGCACTAGAGAGGGATGAGGCACTTTGCCAGTGGGCGTCACAGATATTTGCTGACAGCAGAGGAATGACAAGACTCTGGAATCTTGTGTTCCATTCCACACTTAGAAGGGGAAAGAAATTTCATGGGCACAGACTCCTCAGCTCATAGCCCCCTAGCACAACATCTTCCATCCTTGTCCCTTCAAACCTGTATCAGGTCCCCAATCTGTTTCCCACCCATGGTTCCTTCTCCCAGCACCATTCTCATCACCCGAGCTATCCCAGTCTCCATTCTTCAGACTTCTGCTTGGAGTCTCAGATTCTTTGTCCAGCAAGCCCCAGTTTTACCCCTCCTCCTGGTCCCCATCTTCTTCTCCAGATAATCCCAGTTCCCTCCCTCCTAGCTCCTTGTGCAATCTGTCCTTTTCAGCCCTGGTTTCCAGTTACCACCTCTACCCACATTCCCCTTCAGCTCAGGCTCCCAGTTCCAGTCTCCGTCCTTGGGCTCCTTCTCCAATGCATGTGTGCTCCTCCCCCAGTCCTTGTCCCAGTCTCTTTGCCCATCTCTTTATCTAATCTCAGTCTCACCTATGGCTCTTGCCCCTCCTTTTTTTCCTCTCTGTCTTCCAGTCTCCTTGTCCAGCGAGTTGCAGTCCCCCTTCTTTCCAGGCTGCAGATCCAGTCAACCTCCCTGTACCAATCCCTGTTTCCATCTCCTGTAGCTCCGTGTCCCAATTTCTCTCTCCCCACTGCCAAACTTCAGTTCCAGTTTCTGCCTCCATCTCATACCCAGGCTTCTTGTTCCAATCCACTGTGCTTGCTGCTCCTAACTCCCTAGCCCCCAAGTCTTGCACTTGTCCGGGTCGCCTCTGCATGCTGAGCCCAGCCAGCTCGTCATTGGGGAGCCCTAGATAGAGAAGTTTCCTGCTTTCAGTTCAGCTGTCCAGATGCAGGCGGACCTGTGAGAGGCCAGAGTTGTAATTGCAGGGAAATTCATACTCCGCTCCACATGAGAGCATGCTCAATGCCTACAAAATCGTCAGGGAATTTATCTGCCAAAATCTTAGTCCCTACTGAGCATTTTCAGACTGCAAGTTTTCAAAGATTTTTAACTTGGACAAAATTGGCCACTTGATGCAGAGGCCTAACACAAAAGCACGACTGTCAGATTTCAAGTTCCTGCTCTAAGAAATGGAGGTGCAAGACATTTTTAAAAAAGCCATCCATTTTTTTTTTATCATAGACAAATGCATTTGTCCTCAGTCTGGCCTGTAGAAATGGCTGAGCCATTTGGGCTGAAATTTTCAAAAATAAAAAATTCAGCCCAGTCAGATACCTGATATGGAATGTTTCGGCCCAGATACATTTTGACAAAGTTCTAAATAACTGAGAGCAGTTGACTTAAAAACAACATTAATTTCTGGTCATCTCAAAATGAAGCAAAAAAATCAGTTAGCTGCGCAGCTCTGAATTGCGTCCAGATCTGCTGAATCCTAGTCTTGTTCTGTAATCACAAGACAATGCTTTTCCTTTCTTTCCCTTACCATTTCAGGACTGCCCATTCAGAAAGTGTTAAAAAGCAATACAAGATGCTTAGGCAAGTGATCCCTTATGACACTTCCTGTGCAATATAATAGGAATGAAACCAGTAAGAGTCTATAGGAAATCCCTTTTAATAGGATTTCAAAGAGCATGAATGTCTTCCTATGGAACGTTTCAATTAGCCCATGTAAACTAATATACCTACTATAGAATTCTCTAAGCTGGTTTAAAAGACAATAGAAAGTTTAGCATTCTATATTAAATTCTGTAGCTGTGTTCCATGAAGGATGGTGATGGGGACATGAGAAATCAACCAGTGCCAACTGTGGAAAGGAACCAATTGTTCATTTCTTAAAACTTAAGAATCACAGGAGTAAAATACCTTAGGCCACCATGGTGCACTGAAATCATGCAGATGGACCTTGGTTGGTTGGAGCTATACAAGGGTGCAGCAGGCAGTATGTATTTCTTGATGCAAAACTCAGGATTTAGGGCTTGTCTGCCCTGCGTGGCAATTCAGACTATGGAAGTGTGAATGGCAACATGTGCCTAAGTGTGGGCCATAACTTCCCCATGTGGATGCTACTGGCACAAAAGAAAGGCAGCCCTTTTCAGAACAGGATTATATTAATGCAATCTAGGAACCTTCTAGTTCATGCTCGCGGAGTCCATCCGAGCAAATTATAATGTAACACTTTGGTGCACAGTACTATTCACACAGCCCAAGTCTGAAATGTAGGGCAGTGTAGACATATCTTGAGTTGGCAGGAGATAGTGTCATTAATTCTT